ACAGCACGTTGACCAAAGTAATCCTTGAGAAGCCCAAAGTAGCTTTTTCACAGCACGTTCACCAAAGGAATCCCTGACTAGCCCAACTTAGCTCATCCACACCACACTCGCCAAAGTAATCCCTGAGTAGCCCAAAGCAGTTCTTCCATAGCACACTCACCAAAGTGATCCCTGAGTAGTTCAACGCAGCACTTCCACAGCATGTTCACCAAAGAGATCCCGGAGTAGCCCAAAGTAGCTCTTCCACAGCACGTTCCCCAGAGTGATCCCTGAGTATTCAAGCTAGCTTTTCCACAGCACGTTCACCAAGGTGATCTCTGAGTAGCCCAAAGTGGCTCCTTCACAGCACGCTCGCCAAATTGATCCCTGTTCACCAAAGTAATCCCTGAGTAATTCAACGTAGCACTTCCACGGCACATTCACCAAAATGACCTCTGAGTATTCACACCACATTCACCAAACTGATCCCTGAGTAACTAAACCTAGCTGCCTAGCTCTTCCACAGCACATTCACAAACTGATTTCTAAGTAGTTCAACTTAGCTTGTCCACAGCAACCACAGTTTTTAGTAGCGCAACTTAGCTTCTCCACAGCACATTTACCAAAGATATCGTAGGATAGTTGTAGACTTGTAATGTACTTATCAAAGCAGTTTTTTCCCCACCCGTAGGACTGTGGGGCTGTTAGATTTTAAGAACTTTGGACTTCAATAGACTCGCTACTTCTGCACATCCACCAGAGTGGTCCCAGCGTAGCTCAGAGCAACCCAAAGAACACAGCACATCCACCAGAGTGGCCCACAGTGGCCCAGAGTAGCCCTTACATAGCACATCCACCAGAGTGGCCCCGAGTAGCCCAGCGTAGCCTTTACACCAGCACATTCACCAGAGTGCTCCCAAGCACCAGTTCCACAGCATATCCACCACAAGTTGACTTGGCAGGGATGCGGGGTTGCCAGGCATTAAAATATCAAAGTTTAGAAACCTCACAAGTAAGTACTCGATGTGTGGTTTTGTTTTCAATAAAGAATCCTTTTTGCGCCGAACCGCTTTTCTCTTGTGAAGACCAATTCTTTGAGGGTGGGGAATTTCGAAGTAAAATAATTGCTTAGTTGTTTTTTGTATCTTCCCTATTCCCGGGCACTCCATGTATGCCATATATGCCCTACATTAGGGCCTACACTGACCCCCAGTCAACCACCCCTGGCCTGATCGGCAGTCCTATAGCAGTCCCATGGGTCGTGTTTGGGTATTGGTAACTCCCTTCCGCGGAAGATCGGAGGTCCTGTTTCCATCCTTTTCTCCGATTCCTGGACAGTTCGATCCCCCAGCGGACGTCTGTGGTCACGATCTGCCTGTTTTGCATGGGCAAAATGACTGAGTCAACAAAGTACCGACCCCAGCACAGTCCACCGAAAGGGGGTCGCGAAGAGGGTCAATAGCCCAAATGGTCGACCAACATGCTTATGTGACTGGACATTTTGTCACTGAAACCACCCAAATGTACCGTAATTGGATCATATTTGCTTACATGGAGCGTTCGAGTATAAAATGACCTGCTCCCTCTTGGAGTTGTTGGTCCAATCTCTCTCTTTGGACACGACCAAACGACGATCGAACGACGTCTGGCATGCCACGACACGAGTTGCAGCAGGAGTTGCAGCTGGCGGAGGCAAGCTGAGCTTGGGGTTTCCTTGCTGTGCGTAAGGGAGAATCTGTTTGTTGGCTTGCTAGCACAGAGGCATCATGGATGTTAGTAGATACGCATGTTGTTTGAAAGAATTCCAGGTCACTTGCTTTGGAACCAACATTCGCAAAGGCACTTGGAGGATTCTTTTTAGAATGGGAGCGTGTCTTGAAGTTTGAGCAGTTTCAGTGGCATCACAATTTCATGATAGTTTGTTCATCTGTGTTTGTGAACGGTTATTCCAATTTGATTGAACTGTTGAAACGCTGGCTTTCTATCACCATCACCCACTCTGTAAATGGTCAAGACTCCTCTCATGACTGCCTATGTTTTGCTGCTTCTTTGGATGTGGTACTCGGAGATTACTTTTGCCTTGCATTTCAGCTTAAGTTTTGATCCGGAGCCTAGCTGCTGCAGAGAGAAGCTTCCAAAGTTGGCATTTCTGACATTGCTTGGGCGTAGGTACACTTGGACACGTTTTGCAGAAAGTACCAACTCGCCCCTCTTTCCAGGGCAACGGGAAGCGATTCCTGGATATCCTCAAAAAGAAGATACGTGGCCTGGACGAGATGAGGTGTGCTGATGTCTATTTTGTCTTCGGTTTGTGACGTTTGTCTTTGTCAACTTTAAGATTGGCCTCTCACGGGGAACAGGCACACGCATTGAACCTTTTTGATTTGGGGTCGTGGCGATCGCTGGACGCTCGGTGGACCCAGGTGTTGCCAAAGGCCAAAGTGCCTGGAGCGTCTTGGATGGTGAGATCACCTTGACGCCAGCGGAGCTAAAGGCTCAATTGAAGGCGACATGAGGAAAAAGCCGAAGGGTTAGCTAAGTTGGCATTCGATATGTAAAACCATCAATCTATTTGGTTTCTGAACAGCTAGAAACATGTCTAATTATAGCTTTCTTAGGGATGGATTGATCATACACTCAGAACTACGGACATGGTCATGTCTTCAGCTACAAAAACGCCAGAGCATTCTTGCTTTTGAGGGTTTTCCGTGGTCAGCGAAGAAGTGCCCCCCCAAAAGACTGCTCCCCGTGGCGAAGACCGCTTCCGGTTTGTGTTTGATTGTTGGTTTCATGCATCCAGTCATTGCCCAATATGGCTGTAGGTCAAAACCAGGGCCCCTGGTTGACCACGGAAAACGAACAGAGTAGACTGCCAGACATGGTCAACCTACCAAGGGTTGGGGCTTGGGGTTTTGACTCACAGCCAATATGTGTGGAAGGGACCCCTAAGAAATCTATGCCTAAGTGGGATCCCCATGGCCAGAACCAGGTGGTGAACTTACTCCACGTAATCATTATGCAAGTTTGACAGTTCTTCAGATTCAGACTCCATCAGAATGTTTAGTCTAGGAGTCTATAGTTACATAGATGAGATAGGATCTACCCAAGCCTGAGTTCAATGAGTTCGATGCCTGTCGTGTTCACAAAAAAATCCAGCGTGCCAAGAGGATCCAAAAGGATCCCAGCTATCACATCTCCTGGGTCGTACCAGGATGCCGACCGGGTGAGGCACAAAGTCCTTCTACCCTCCAGCAGAACCAGCGGTAGATGAAATTCATCGTATACAGTCAGTCTATTTGTTCACGGTCCATGGGAGAATCCAATCACACTTCATGCTCAAGTCCTTAGCTGCTTAGATGGGTTTGGACCAAAATCAGCTCACGGTCCACCTAGAACACCTAGCTAGTCCTACTGGTGGACCTCCGAAAGCGCGGCTCCCTCCCTCCCGTGAGACCGAGGTCATGAGCGATTTGGAGTTCTTAGGCGGGCGACACCGGGAAGAGACCGGGGAGACCGAGACACCGGGGAGGTGTCTCGACGAAGAGCGAAGGACTCGACGATGGCGGAGCGTTTTGATATGGTCAGACCCATGGCGACATGGTTGGACGGTTGTACAGGGTTGAATGGCATGAGAAGATGGAGAGGTGTTGTTAGGTTTAAAGTCTTGTTAGGGGAAAAAGGATCCTTTCGACAAGGACGATGGAATTGAATGGCTCCATGCAAATGATGTTTGATGCTTGTTGAGTTGGAATGGCAGGGGTACTAGATTGCATGGTCATCAAGTAAGCGAAACAATGTCCAATATCAACAAGTACATACTTGATGTCCCAGTTTGTCCATTTAAAATGCTCAATCTTCCAATGAGTTCTCAGAATCACACAGTCAATCTTCAGAGTTCTCAAGCAAAAAAAACATCCAACACTATTCAACACCAAACACCTAGACAGAAGATTGAACTTATCCCCCAAAACAAGCGAAACGAAAAAGCAGAACCAGCTCCCTAGAAAACCTAGAGCTCCCTGTTCCATCCTCCTGCTCAACCTGTTCCAGCCTCCTTTTTGAAGCCAGGCTTGCGACCTGCAGAAGGCGGGGTTGATTTGACCAACGACCAGGAGACAGCCGGGAGACGGCCGACAGCGCGACCGCCGCGCTTTCGGAGGCGTGAAGAACATGGGGGTGGCACCCGAAATGTTGCCAGATCTTAGTAGTAACACTTAAGCTATACTGTAGTACTATATTATAGGGGCTCCTGGCCAAGGCAAACTAGGAGCGATCGGACGCTACGAACCGGGCTCCTGGCAATGCTACTAGTAGCATTCTTACTACTATTTGCTCAAGCCAAATTGTGTCTCTTTCTGCGTGAGCATGTTAGTTGTAGGGGTTTTGTTGCCAATTCACTGAGGGGTGATGAAGGTGTTTGGAAATGGTGTGCGATAGTTTGCAAGGGTTTAGGGGTAACAACATGGAGGACCAGAGAGTGCCATCCCGAACTCAAGGATATGTCTGGATCCAACAACCTCCTCGAGACGCATCGCATCGCAGATCACCTGACCCCGATCCGCGCTGGGTGGCTGGGATCTAGCAGAGGGTGGCTTCCATTCGTCGCAGGAGCTTCAGCCAGCTGAAAGGCCCCTGGGAAGCCTGGTTTTGGGCCGAAAGAGGTTTTGGTGGGATGGACGGTTCTTGTTTTCGAGCGGGTTCTGTTCAGTAACACTTGGGGAGAGTCCCTCATGTTGATTGGACTGCTACAGTTGTATCTTCAACATCACACATGTCAGTGTTGCACCTTGTTCGATGGCAGAGGTGGCCAAGAGATCCTCTTAAAGAAATAACTAATTAATTAGCGTGTCTTTTTGTTATGGTCCAAGATGGTCATCGTCAAGTGCTCTGTATCATGCATATGTTGGAGCAAGCTTGCTCATGCTGGTCAAGAGCCCCTGATACAAGCATGTGCATGGTCTGGGGTGTGTGACTGGTACCATGTATTTTTGTTGTCGGTTTACGTTTGCAGGCTATAAGGCTAACATTAACCTGTTTATCAATGCACTTATAGTAGCTTTGTTCATGCCCACCCAAACGTGCGGATGCTATATATTTCTTAGGATTGCCATTCGGCCACACCAGAACGAAGCCGCTCGTAGTCCATGTTTGTTGCGGGTACTATGGCAGCAAGCACTTGTGTACCAAGTGCCGATCCTTCCATAAACTCGCACCAGTCCGTCACCTGGAACGTTGCTGGAATTCATCGCAAAACATTGAGGAACAGGGATTCGGGATCTGGAGTCCGCCGAGCATTTTCCCAAACAGCAAGCTTGAAGATGGTGCTGCCCTCAAGTATCCTTAGCTCTACGTACAGCCGATGACATGATGAGTTCAACTCCTCCCAGTCTTTCAACGTAATTATAGTAATTCAGAGCAATTTGTTTCATCAGGTCATCCTTTTTTCAGTTGATCAATGACATCCTATAGTTGGTCTTATTGTGAGGCATGAGTTGTTTGTTTCAATGAGAGGCGACCTCCCTGAGACAGGGTATGAACATGTATGAACCTTGTCCTATCGACTGATCAGGAACACAGCAGCTTAAAATTTGGCGTCCAAGCTCATAGCTTTATGTTTCTGTATGGGACCTAAACCATGACCAAAACATGCACCACCAGCCTTTGAGAAGGTGGGAGCACCAGCCTTGAGGTGGGTTTGGAGATGTTTGGAGAGTCCAAGTATCCTCTTCGAACACCTTGGGTTCTTACTTGGAGCCATACCCACTGCAGGACCCAAGCCATGCCCAGGACATAAGCCCATCCCCAGGAGATGATGGTGCTTGGGTCCTGGGGGATGGCCATTTGCAGCTGCGCAGGTCCAGCCCTTCTGAGCCCCTGGAGACGCGGCAGGATCAGACACAGGAGAGAGACGAAGTCGGTGCCAAAGGAGTGGAACAAGCGGCCCTTTTGAGTTGGAAAGTCATATCCCAAGGACTTGATGGAGGAATCATGAGAAATCCATACCAGACCAGAACCCTAAAGAACTGTTCTGTCTCTTTGATGTGTTGGTTGTTAGTAAAATTGTGTGTCCAAAATTAGGTTGTTGGCTACTGTGTGATTCGCAGCGGATTGCTCAAGGTCTTGTTATTGGATGACAGTCCAGCTGTAATTTGTTTCCTGCGAAATGTGCACCCGGCCATGTCCTCAAACACTTTCACCTGCCTGGAAGCCCTCCAACATCCAAAAAGGAACAAGAAGAATGCTCCCAACAATCTTTAAATCAAAACCCAGTAAACCCGAAGAAACCTTGAGAAACCGATCAGTTCGCTCCAGAAAAAACATACCGTGGTCTGTTTGTTTTCCAACTCCCTCTTCGCTCGCTTCTGTGCCACGCTTCGCTCGTCCGAACTGGCCTCAGGAGACCGTCTCGCGAACCCAACAGATGGAGGCGCAGATGGGGCGAAGGTGTGGAGAAGCACAGATGGGGCGATGATAGACTTCCAGTGTTTAGAGGGGTCTGTCTGGGGCAGCAAAGATGGCAGTCCCATGGAGTGTTTGGGATATGGTTTCTGCTATATTGTACGGCACAATAGAATGAAAGAGCAACGACAGACACATGCATGTGTGTTGTAAAATTGTATTTCGGAAATGGGCAGCAGTTTCTACGCTCACCCATTTGACTGACATGCAAGTGGATAGACAGCACGGCATGAACGCCCAAAGACCATATTCTGAAATACCATGCTCGTCCACCAAACCTTGTGATGTGCTTGTCTGAGAAACAGACTTCTTTTTTGACTGAACAGCTGGAGGCAAACCAGATGTCCACATATCTTTCCAGGTGTCCTTTTCTGTCTAGGGCTCCAAGTGCCTCCCTTGTGACTGGTGCTCCACCATGGTCCACCCCAAAAGACCGAAGCAAACATGGAGCTCGGCAGAGAAGGACACCTTCCTGGAACTGGACGCCTCGGACGCCACAATCAACACGAACCGGTCTCGATCGGCATGGCAGAACCCGCCCCTCCCCGGGGTTCAGTGACTGGATGTCGATCGACGCAGTCGAAAACCCGGCGGGAGCTCGGTGGGCCCCCAGCGGGCACTAGGTGAATGAGTTGAGCACCTTGCAGCTGGGGCCATTTGAGGCGAAGCAGTGGGCTGAAGCCGCGCTGCGAAGCAGCGGGCGAAGCGGCGCCGATGGGAGTTGGGGTGAGGTTGAGGCGCTGAATTCGAACTTCAATGTGGGATGCGGGTGCAACTTCAATGGGAGAGATCTTGTGTTCTTCAACTCTTCGTTTTTTGACTACACAATTTTAAATGGAGTTGGATTTGAACATGGTTTCATCAAACCCTTTGCCAGTGGTATGTCATGGTATGTCGATGTCAAAAAATACTTTTACTATTTTTTACTCAAACAATGGACCAAAAATCACCGCACTCTAGGAAAAGTATACGCCCCCATTGAATATACTCACAAAGACTCCGCCTAGCAAACACGACCGGCGCGCGGCGCGCGGCACGCGCTGCGCTGCCCTGCGCTGCTAGGCCGGGGTCACCTGTGAGATTCTGAGGGCTTGGTCCGGAGCGCCCGGGCATCTCCTGCAACCGGGGCCGCCGGGGTGGGCGAGCAAGGCCGATTCGACCTGGGCGGGGTGAAGCAGCCGGGTGAGAGCACAAAACCTGAAGGGACACGTCTTTTTAGAAGGAGCTGATGCTACTGGTCCAGCTTGAAGACAGCTGGAACCGGATAGAAGTGGGTGAAGCAGTCAACAAGTGATTGGCGAAAACGTGGTTCACCTTCCCATGGAAGCGCCCCTTGACACCTATGGTTGTAGTATCCGTTTTTCCTTTGAGCCACAGACTCTGCTGACTAAGTTGGACACCTTCAATGTATTTCAACCCAAACATAATAATCCTTCCAAACATAGTGACACTTCCACCTGAAGTGTTTGGTTCAATATTCTTCAATGCATTTCAACCCAAACATTTGATTGGACGTGTCGATGAACTGTGTTTGTACCAGACAAACCTGAAAAAAAAAATCATGTCCAGTTTGCACTTGCCTAGGTTATTGAATGCGCGATGCCTAGGCATGTGATTGATCACCGCAGCATTTGCGGGGCGAACACTGTGTGTTTGGTTTCTGGCGACCGGACATGCAGACACTTCAGCGACCTGTTCTTTCGATCTGAGACAACATTCAAGCAGATTTTGCATGATGTTGCTGTGATGATCTGTGATGACTACTTATGCTGTAGAAACCTGTTTTATTTTCAGAAGGGGTGGCCATGGGGCCTGGGTTTTGGTTTTCCATAAATGTTCATAAATATTAGGTAAATGCATCAGTGCCACAATCAAAACCAAAAAACACTGATAAATATGCATAATAAAAACCAAAAAAGAACGAAAAAAACCTTAAGAACACAAAAAACAAAAAAAAAAACAATTCTGGGAGACTTTTGGCTGGACCCCCCAAAATCAGAAAAACCGAAAAACCAAAAAAACCTTGGGAAAATAAAAAAAAAACAAAAAAAACAAAAAAAACAATTCTCAGAGACTCTTGGCTGGACCCCCTTGTCCTCAAGACTTCCCCAGAATTGTTTTTTTTTGTTTTTTAGGTTTTTTTGGTTTTCCCAAGGTTTTTTTGGTTTTCTGATTCTTCTGATTTTGGGGGGTCCAAGCAAGAGTCTCTCAGAATGTTGTTTTTTGTTTTTTGTTTTCTCAAGGTTTTTTGGTTTAGCATCTGAGCTTACTTCTCACCTCAAGGCATCTGTTCTTTTTGCTTACATCTGAAGCCGTCTGAGCTCAACACTTCCTTTGTCCTTGTCCAAATCTCCATATACAAGTCTGAGTGCATTAACTGCTGACTGGTATAAATGCGGTTGCCACTTGCATTTCCAAACAGCTTGACATGCAGTTGCGAGGACACTCTGTCCTTTACATGAAACGGTTGGATATCTTTGCGAGCGTACTTCTGTGCTTGTAGCTCAAGCGTTTACATCTTATTCTGGCGAACTTCTAATTTTAATTTCAATTCCTTTCTAATTCAACTCTCATCCAATTTCAATTAGGCTATAGTTATAGTTCAATACAAGTTTAGTTAAAATTCGGTTTTGATTCAGTTCTATCTTAGCTCTAACTCAAATCCAATTTAATTCTGCCTAATTCTATTCTAGCTCTAGCCTATTTAGTTTAAGAAAACACATGCTACAAAACCCCGTGTTTTACAGTATTTTTTGCTCTGGAAGTGCTGGGAACAAGACTAAAACTCTTTTTTGAAGTAAATAGTTAGATTTATTTATTGTCAGTAATCACTGGAGATAATATATACATATTAAACATGTTGTATGTACAAGCTTCTAATTCAAGAGCTTCCCTCTAGATCTCTGGGGATCATCATTATTACAATAAAACTATATATAAGTTTTCATTTCAAAAGCTTTCCCCTGGATCTCTGGAAATGGTCATGTCAATTTAAGCATGCTATATATCAATAAATAAGTCTTTCTTTCAAGAGCTTGCCTTTCATGAAAACACATATATACATATATATATATATATATGTGGGATATCTACTTTGCCAGAGATCCTGAGGAAAGCTTTGAAAATGCAAGCTCTTGCCCGCAGAAATCTAGAAGAAAGTTTTAACATACAAGGTTTCTATATAGTTGTTTAAATCTAAACATGATTATCTGCAGAGATCTATAGAGAATCTTTTATAACATAAAAGCGTCTATAGACAATCTTTCCAAATCTAAATATTATTATAAGCAGAGATCTAGAGGACAATTGTTAAAACGACCACTTTTATGGCCTGCTTTTTTTCTAATTATCTTGTTCAAAACCATCTGAATGATTGATTGCTGCTTCCAAAACAATAAAATTACCCTGACTCAGGAATACATAATATATTTGTTCGTATAGAGTGAGAGCAAGAATAGATATGTGTGTTTATATGGAGAGGGGCTGCCACTGAAGCATTTACCTAAAATTTGGGGAAAACCAAAACCCAGGCCCCATGACCACCCGCTCTCTTTATTTTGGTCCCCTTCCAAACAACGTACCTTGGCCCAATGCAAAACCTGCCCAGGTACGGTGTAGCAGGTGATGAAAGATATGAAAGGAGGCCAGTCCGCGCGTGGATGGGGAGCTGCCTATGTATAGACTCTTGACATGTCTTGACTAATAAAACCCATGTATGAAGAGGTGTTTCTAGTTTCAATCCAACTGTATTTGTTGTTAGCCAATCAGAGTCGACATCAGCTGGCAAGCGAAATGGCGAGGAAGACGTTATTTTTTCAAAAATTATTGATTTGTTTAAGTTTTGGTTCATGCCCTGGATGAAACGAGCATTAAATATATAATCAACCATTTACTGTATATGCGATATGTAAGTGACTTTCAGATACGTGCTCACTTGTACAGCGAGCAGATGAATTTTAAATTGGGTGATGTATGACTAAGTACGTTTAGATCCTGCTGAACGTGCCACCTCCCATATTCCCGATATCATACTTGTTGGGAGGTTACTCTTTTGGTCATTCAGACATGGAACATGGAACATGGCTGGCTAGGAAGGTCGAATGGTCTTGACAAAAAAGACATGGGAAGGTCTAGGAAGGTCTAGGAAGGACCGTCGAATGGTCCCCAGATGTTTGGTCACCGTGTTTGACTCTTCACTCTTGGGGACCTCCGTCCCGTCGGAATTCATCGCTCGGAGCGAGCCGGGGTCGACAGGAGAATTGACGCCACAATTCATTGTCGAAACGAATGGAATCCTACAAGAGGCTTGACCTTGTGTGGGCTCCTGGAGGGTTTTGCAACCGACCAGAAGCAGGTTTCGTTTCAATCCTGATTCATGAGATTCTGCGAATGTGTGCACTACCCTTCCAAAGGGTCTTCGTTCCACTAATGCAGGGGGATCAGGCTTCCAGTGACTATCCAACGAAGCTGGGTCACTGGAAGGGAAGTGGTTGAGGATGCTCAACCATTTACCTGCAGAGTGCTTCACAAGCTGTTACCCTCCTTTTCCGCTTTTT